GTTTCTACTACTTTTAGTGTTGGTTTATTATTCTTTTTTTTTTTTGAGGGGCTTGGGATGTAATGTTAGGTCATTTATTTGTTCAATTTTTATTCTTTTAATGAATGAGCTCAATGCAATGAACTTTCCTCTTAGCACTGCCTTCATAGTGTCCCAGATATTTTGATAGGTTGAAAATCAGTGTTCTCCTTTACCTCTAAGAATTTTTCTTATCTTCTCTCTGATGTCTTCTGCTATTCATTGTTCACTCAATATCATATTATTTAGTCTCTAGGTGTTGGAGTAGCTTCTACTTTGTATTTCATCATTGATTTCTAGTTTTATTCCATTATGATATGATAGAATACAGGGTAGTATCTCTATTTTTTAATGTTTTCTGAGAGTTGCTTTGTGGCATAATATATGATCTATTTTAGAGAAGGATCCCTGTGCTGCTGAGAAGAAAGTGTGTTTGCTCAGTGATGGATGAAATATTCTATATATGTCTGTTAAGTCTAAATCATTGATTGTATTATTGAGTTCTATAGTTTTTTTGTTGTTGTTGTTGTTTATCAGATATATCCAGTGGTGAGAGTGTGAATTAGAGTCACCCAGTATTATTGTTTTGTGATCTATTTGCTTCTTGAAATTGAGAAGGGTTTGTTTGATATACATAGATGCTCCATTGTTTGGGGCATAGATATTTATGATTGTTATGTCTTGTTGATGTATGGTTCCCTAAAGCAGTATGAAATGTCCTTCTTTATCTCTTCTGACTAACTTTGGTTTGAAGTTCCCTTTATCTGATGTAAAGAGAGAAACCCCTTCTTGTTTACATGGCCCAGGTGAGTGAGTGATATGTTTTTTTTCCCATCCTTTCACCTTCAGTCTGTGGATGTCTTTTTCTATGGGATGAATCTCTTGAAGGCAGCATATTGTTGGATCTCTTTTTAAAATCCAATCTGACAGTCTATGTCTTTTTTTTTTTTAGAGAGATAGAGAGAAATTTTTTTTAACATTTATTTTTTAGTTTTTGGTGGACACTACATCTTTATTTTATTTTTAAAATAAAGCATGGTAACGTGCTCGCCTGGCATGCTCGGGGTGCTGGGTTCGATCCTAGCACCACATAAAAATATCAGTTGTTCACTCTGCACAGACAATCCCCTGCCATTTCTCCAATGCCAATTGCCACTACAATGACATGAATGGCACCAGTCAAGAAATTATAGAAAGAGCTGATTCAGTTCTCCAGTGCTGAAAGTAGCATAGACTTGAAGGTACACTTGCATGAGATGACCAAGCAAAGATTTCTGAAATTTCTTGTCTTCACATGCTTAATTAATTCCTGATTAAATTTGAAATGAAGGACATGGATCCTTTTGAAGACACAGGAGCAAATATGAAGGTCTGAGACTTCAATAGGCCTCTTTTCTTGATAAAGAATATTTCCATTAGGCAATTCAGTCAGACTCCAGAGAGCAATTCTGGAGCCAGAGTTGCTTTTGGTAAATTTGCATCTGGAGTTTTATGGGAGGCATAGTGTGCACGGGGCACAGATGAAAGGCCAGTAAGGCTTATTGTTTTTATTTTTAATTTTTAGTTGTAGATGGACACAATACCTTTATTTTATTTATTTATTTTTATGTGGTGCTGAGGATCAAACCCAGGGCCTCACATGTGCTAGACCAATGCTCTACTGTTGAGCCACAACTCCAGCCCATTAATACTTATTGATGAGGGGCTTTAGCCAATGTTTCATGTACTTTCCTAATTGATACACATCTGTTGTAAAGTATGTATATATTTATTTATTTTGGGTACTAAGGACTGAACCCAGGGGCACTTGGCCACTAAGCCACACTCTCAACCCTATTTTGTATTTTATTTGGAGACAGGGTCTCGCTGAGTTGCTCAGCACCTCCCTTTTGCTGAGGCYGGCTTTGAACCCTGGATCCTCTTGCCTCAGCCTCTGGAAAAGCAGAGAAGCCGCTGGGGTTATAGACTTGCACCACTGTGCCCAGCTAAGTATTTGTTTTTAAGTAGTGGACTCCGGGCGCAGGAGGCTGATGAGCAATAGACAAATTATCAATCAAGGCAATTCTTCATTTTGTAGAATACACACATTTTATCCTCTGATCCAAGAAGCTATTTTTATTTTATTTGCTTGAGAAAATGATAGTACAGGAATGCCCCTTCCCCCAAGAGACTGAGTTTGATAACTCTGGACCATCCAGGATGCTGTTGGGCACCACACAGAATTTGCATGCCACTGTCCCTTTGGGAACCATCTGAACACCCTCTGGATAAACAGGAAGTATCTGATGGGCTGATGGTCATAGTGCACAAAGGCACTGTACAGAACTATATAAAGATTCCATTAAAGAAATGATAACAAGTTTACAAAGAACAACATTCTGGGGCTGGGGATAGAGCTCAGTTGGTAGAGTGCTTGCCTCCATGCACAAGGCCCTGGGTTCAATCCCCAGCACCACAAAAACAAACAAACAAACAAACAAACAAAACAACAACAAAAACAAAACAGGAACAACAGTCTTTAAGTAACTCCATGGTAAAGAAACAATGAAAAAATGTGGAAAAAAAAGAGGGCAGATGCAATGTCAATCATCTGTAGATCTTACAACAAGACATGACCAAGAGATCTTACAGAAAGATTCTACTTTAAAAGATCTTATTTTTAATCCTGTAAGAAAATTTAAATTCTGCTTGACAGTATCAGACTTTTCTGGGAGTCGTTAATTTCATACACGTAAAAGTAAAAAGGACCAGCCAAACTAGTATTTTGGGCTGGACTTGCACTAAATTAAGTCTCTTTTGAACAGCACTACGATTTTTTAGGGATAAACATTTGAATTTTATTGGTTTAGTAGTGGCAAGAACCATCACGAGGATGGCTGTAGACAGACTGAAGCCCTGAAGTTAAGAGTGTTGCTCAGGTGAAGCAGGGAGGGTCCCCGCGGATCAGAAACAGGCCGCATGAGAAGAAGGTGCCCTGGTGGCAGGGTCCCCACCCCACCCCGCGTTGAACAGCCTGGGCGTCTCGGTTGTCCCCAGGGTCCCCCCACCCCACCCCGCCCCGCGCTGAACAGGTGGCCTAGGGCGTCTGGGTCATCCCCAGCAGTCTGCGCCCGGGAGGCGGAGCTCTGGGGGGCGCGGGGGTGGATGGGGGACACCTTGTTCCTTTATCTCTGGGAGGAGAGGTGGCCCGGGAATGAAGTGTGACAGTGGCCCTACTCGCCGCCGCCATGGAGCAGACTCGCGCTGCTGCTCGCCTGCGGAGGATTTTGGGGCACCTTGGCGGTTCCTCGGTTCGAGCCGTGGTATCCTTTGGGGTGAGGTGGACTCGCGCCACCCAGTTGGGGCCCAGCAGCCTCGGCCTTGGAGGTTGACGCGGGCCGCTGTGGTGGCCTCCCGGTCTCAGGACTGCCCCTTCTCTTGCCCTTCGCACCCCTCAGCGCAACTATCCCCAGAAAGTTACATCTCAAAAGGAGGCCTGGGAGGGAGCGGGGTTGGATCTCTAGGTTCTGGTGGCCCCCCATGACCCCAAAGGCATCTTTCCCCGGGTATTGGGTACGTGACTGTCCTGGTCTCAGTGGCCGCTATTGCGCGTGGCTCCACCTTTCTGGTACTTCTTAGTGTCTACTGTTGTTGCTTTGTGAAGAGGGGAGGTTGGGGAGGCCTTGCCATGGTCATCTGCCTTGTTATTTTTTTTGTCCGCGGTGTGGGAGASCTCTAGGAATGCTTGGAGACCAAGAATTGCCCGAGGGCAGTCACATTAAACAGGAGCACAGAGCTGCTTGGGAGGGACCTAGGGGCCAGACATCTGTCCTCCTCTCAAGAGGGGATGCCAGTCCTCTGAAGGGGTGGGAGCTGGACACACTGGCGCTGCTACGGGACAACCCCCGGAGGTGGAACCTTGCCCCAGCCTCTGCTTGGGAGCTTCCTAGGGGAGCTCTGGGCTCTGTGGCAGCCTCTGGAGGCTTGGGGACCCTGGCAGAGTCCTAAGCTGATATCTAGGAAAAGGATTTAGACAAGGATTTAGTCCTTGTCTTCAGAAGTGAATCCCAGAAGGAATTTGTGTGCCAGGCTTGTAGGGGAGGAGCAGACCCAGAAACAGGGTACTATGAATAGACCTGCCAGTCCAATCGGCTTCTTGAACTGCTTTTGCCTGCCCATTCAGGGCACACTTTTGGAAGCTCTGTAGGTACTGCATGGAGTTTTTCCTTAGGCCAGTAGCCTCTCTTCTGCTTTATGTTAACATCCTGACATCTCTCCTAAGGTTGATTATCACAGCTGCTTCTTGGACTTTCAGTGTTGCTCTTCCCACTGGGTTTCCAAGCAGCCATGTGGGAGAACATTGAAATGCTTAAACTTTGTCCATAGAATGATAAAGAGACCCCAGGTGAGGATGTCAGCTCATTTTCCAAGTGAGTAACAGAGACTAGGAGAGATTAAAAATCTGGACCAAGATCATTGAACTAAACCAGTGTTTGTCATAGTGTGGTCCATGGAGCGGTGTCATCTGCATCCCCTGGGAACTTGTCAGAAGAAGTGGTTAGAAAAGGACTTCTGCTGGGCAGGTGTAGCTCAGTTTGCTTAGCTCAGTGGCAGAGGGCTTGCCTAGTACCACAGGGCCCTGGGTTTCATCCTGGGAGAGGTGGGGAATGCAAATTCTATGGCTCAACTCAACTCCAAAGTTGCTGAATCAGAATCTAGAATGATGCCCTTAGGTGTCCTTTATCCTTTACATTTGTGATGCAGCCTAGATTTTGAGAGTCACCAATACACTGGGATATTTAGAAGTTTAATTAGGGTTTCTTTGTTCAGTGTCTCAAGGCTTTGTTTTCCCTCCCTGAATTTAGAGATTCTTTTTTCATGGCTGTTTTCTATAGGAGCACTGTTTAACATGGCTTTCTGCAATGATGGAATATTCTATGACTGGACATGTATCTATTGAGCCATTAAAATGGGACTAGCGCAATTCAGGGACAGCATTTGACACTGAATTAATTTCAACTTAAATAGGCAGAGGAGCCTGATGGCTATAATCTTGGATAGCACTGGCTAAGATTTGCAGTGAATTTCCTTTAGTCTTATTATGTTTCTGGAAGTTTTGTGACAGTTTTTCTCCAGCCTTCATTGTTTCTTAGGAAGGTGAATTTTGGAATAAGGACTCATCATTTTTGATGTATAAAATGTCATATTTATTTTTTAAAGAAGATATGTAGAAAGGGGGAAATTAGAGACATATAACTCATTGTTCTACCAGTCACAATTCATTGGTAAACTTTTTAGTGTTTTCCATTTGCATATGTATTACAAAACCAGGATTATACTGTATGAGGTTTTTGCATCCATTGTTTTCACCTAACTTTAGATTATAAACATTTCCACTTTATTAAAATTTCCCCAAGAACAATAATAACAAAAAAAAACATGCTGGAGGAATAGTGGAGAGGCACCAAGAACACTGGCTAGAGTCTGAAAACTGAATATCTTGGCAATGACAAATTGCTGAGAGTGGTTGTTCCTGGGCGTCAAATCTTCTGCCTCTGATAGAGCAGACAGGAACTCATAATGCTGACTCTTGGCTTGCATCCCTCCTGGACTATGATACTGTCTCCACATTCCTTAGAGACTTCATTTAAGAAATGATAACCTGTTTATGAAAAGTGACACTTTGAAAGGAACTGTTTTAGCTAAAGAAACAACAAGAAAATAATAGAAACCATGAGATGCTGTGTCAATAATCTGTAGGTATAAAAAGGAAAAGTGATCTTATAAAAAATAATTTCTAGTCCTTACAGATATTTTAAAATTATACCGTGGGGTTCATAYTCAAATTGGAGTCATTGTTTATTTTATGGACTCCCATCCCCCCATCGAATGACCACCCAAACTTTCTAATATTTTGAACTGAAGCCCAACTCAATAAAATACTTTTTGTGAATAACCACGTTCTGTCTTTACTTTCAGGTTTGAACCTTTGGGTTTGTATTTGTTTAGTGGTTAGGTGAAGTGAATCACATGGATTAAGACAGACTGAAGCCTTGAAGCAGAGTGTGAGTTCTGTCCTGGCTCAGCCATTCTTCTCTGGGTGACCTTGGCCTGAGCTCCAAGCCCAGGTTTCCAAGTGCAACAGCAGGAATGACTATAAAGCCCCTGATATATCTGCCACCTCCTCAGATTATTGTGACAATGAGACAAAGTGATGTAAATGAAAGGACTTAAAGCAGCAGTGTGTACCTGTCAGGGTGACGTGGGAAACCTGAACACCTGGTGCCTCTTTAGGGAACTCCTTTCCTGTGAGAACCTCCCCAGAGAAAATRGTTGTTTCTAGACAAGTTTGACTCCCAAATTTTACTTTTTTTTTTTCCTTAATTCACACCCTAGGTAGCTCACTGCACTTCAGGGAAGATTACCCCTACAAATTTCCATCCTCAGCAATTCYAGTAAGTAGAAATATTTTTAATTGGTAACTCTACTATATGTATCCAGTGGTAACTTGGATACAATATACAATATAACATGTTGCCTGATTAAAATTTATTATACACATTCTCTGTTTCCAGGATTTGTTCTAATTAGTAGAATTGTGGATACTTTTGAAGACTTTGACTTTAATTTTCAATATTTATTCTTAAATTTAGAAAGAAGGAAAAATACCAGAAAATGTATAATCTGAGTTTTGAAAATGCAACCACAAGTTATCCCAACTAAATTAGTTTGTAGTTTGATTAAACTGAAATATTAGCTAATTTTTGGTTTACATATATACATTATATTTTCTCTTTTTTTCTTCTGCTTTTTCCTCTTCTTTTTTTATAATTTTTTTTTTTTTTGAGTTGTGGATGTTGCTATGTTGCCTAGGTTGTTTTGCACTCCAGAGTTCAGGCAATCTTCCTGCCTCAGCTTCTTGAGTAGCTGGAATTATAAATATGTACTGCCACACCTGGCACGTTTATTATTATTATTATTATAACACTGTAGATTGAACCCATGGTGGTTTAGTACTGAGCTATATCCCCAGTCCTTTTTATTTTTTATTTTGGGACAGGGTCTGTGTAAGATGCTTAGAGCCTTGTGAGCGCTAAGTTTCTGCGGCTGGTTTAGAAATTGTCATCCTCCTCCCTCAGTCTCCTGAATCACTGAGATAATAGGCCTGAACCACTATCCTGGTTCATTATCTTAAATCACCTTTAAGGGGAATACCTTGACTTTTATAAATATTGTTATAGCCAAATTTCATCTTAAGAGATGAGTGATTTGCGTTTGCTTGTTTGTTGTACCCTCATTTGGTTTTTGTTACTTTAATGACTTCTGAGAATATATTGATTAAATTGAAAACATAAAATTTATTAAATTAGTTCCCCAACTGAAAAACCATATACATTCTAGGAAAAATTCAAAATTAGAGAAATAGAGGGAATTTTTAAACAATCATTTATAATTCCATTATTGAAATGCAATTACTGCCAAAATCTTTTTTGATGTATTTCKCAATAGTCTCCTTTTCACAAATAGTGATGTGTTTATATCATTGTAATCATATTTTATTATAATTGCATGCATTGTCAATACTCTTTTGTCCTTTACTTTTAATGCATCAAGTGGTTATAATATCATTAGTTAATTTTTCTTCAATTAATGTACATTTTGTGAGCATTTTTAATRTTTTGGACCTGAAGTTTTTCAAATATTTTAAGATTATTTTGTTAAAGTTCTACAATTAGAAGTATTGGATTAAAGAATATGAACATTTTTGGGGGGTTCTTGGCACATAATTTTGCATTGTAATTTAAAATTTGGACTAATTTGGTGCCTTTTTCTCCTATAGGTATACTTTGGATAATAATGTGCTGAGCCTGGAACAGAGACAATTTTATGAAGAAAATGGATTTCTTGTTATTAAAAATCTAGTATCTGATGCTGATATTCAACGCTTCAGGTGCAGAAATACTCTTGCTTATTTTACAAAAAATATGTTATGGCGATTGTGTCATTTTCAGGAAAATGCATAGAATTGGAGAACATCATGTTACGCACAGTAAGGCTGACTCAGAGTCAAAAGTCATTGTTTTCTCTCCTGTGTAGAAACTAGAGAGACACAAGTAAAAAAGTGGTCTCAAGAAAACAGAAGGGAGATCAGTAGATACAAGAAAGATGTCCATGGGATGGAGGAAGGGAGGGAAAGGAGTGGTGCTAGGGAATGAAACTGACCAACTGATGCTCTGTGCAGGTGTGAATACATCACATGGAATCCCAACATTATGTATCATTGTAATTCTACATAAAAATTTGTAAACTTTGTATTACATGTATGCAGTGGGATTACAAGTTAGATTAGCCTCTGCATGTTTAGATACTTTTGAGTGATGTGGTTTGTTGAGATGTATTCAGGAGCATGGGATCAGGAGGCAGACTTTCTGGTCTCAATCTCAGCTCTACCACTTAACATGGCATGTCCCATATCGTCACCATAGTTTTCTATACATGTGTGTACTCCTCTGTAAAATGGTCATAGTAATAACACTGATCTCCTAGCATTGTTGATAGGAGAGAAAAGGTAAAATATGTGGCATCAGGTAGGTGCTACAGGAGTATTTGCTATTAAAGGCCAAGCATCACTTATCAGAAAACCAGTATCCAAACCATTGAACACCAAGATCATGTTATAAGGGGAAAATTCCATACCTGGCTCATATGATGGTCATGGTCACAACACAGACACACTAAAAATATTGTATGAAATTATCTTCAAGCTGTGTGTATGAGGTATAGAGGAGACACAGAGTCATTTTGTGATGACACTTAGGTTTCATCTTCCAGATATCTCATTATTATATTTTGTTATTAAGATTATTATTATTTTTAGTGCTTGGAGTTGAATCCAGGAAGTTCCATCCCCATCCCTTTGTTCATTTTATTTTGAGACAGAGTCTTGCTAAATTGAATAGGCTGGYTTTAAATTTACTATCCTGCAGCCTCACCTCCTGAGTCTCTGGGATTACAGCATGCTCCACCACAACCAGCTCATTTTGTATATGTCAATATTCTAAGATCCAAAAATACCTGATGTTAGTTCTAAGTATTTTAGATAAGGGATATTCAGCCTGTATTATTACAATGGTACCAGAAAACTATGTCACCACTGGTATGTTAAGCAAAGCAATATTCCCTGTTTTTTGTATTTTTTGTTTGTTTGTTTGTTTGTTTTGGTGGTGCTGAGGATTGAACCTAGGGCCTTGTGCATGTGAGGAAGCAATAGACTGAGCTATTTCCACTGCCCCCCTGCTTCTTTCATTATTGCAGGAGGCCAGGAGGCCAGGACTTCTCAGTTGGCCATTTTCTCCTCCCTCTACTAGGCCTTAGGACTGACTTAGCAGAGAGAAACTGTTCCTGAATCTGTAAATCTTTGCACAGGTCAGGGCCAACCAGTGGTATGGAGCAGATGTCATGATGTTATTTGTAAATTTAATTTTCTAGGGTTGCATTTGAAAAGATCTGCAGTGAGGAGTCCAAACCTGCAGGACTCATTATAATAAGAGATGTGTCCTCTGTGGAATCAGAGGATATGCCAAGTGAGAAAACAATTGCAAGGATTCAAGATTACCAGGAAGATAAGGAGCTCTTTAGATACTGCACTCTCCCAGAGGTTAGAGACTTGCTCTTGGTTTGGTTTCTCCTTCATAGACAGCTTGCAGGTCTGCCCCAAGATCCCCTGGTTGTGCTGGATCTAACCCCTTCCTACACATAGTACTAGAGTGGTGGTTCTCATGTGGAGGTGATTTTGCCTCCCAATGGATATTGACAATGTCTCAAGACTTTCCTGGTGATGGTAACCGCATAGTGGGTACACTAGTGGCTTCTAGTGGGTAGGGACCAAGGATGCTGATAATTGGGCCTGAGATCCCATGATGCACAGAGGAGCTCTCTCCCCAAGACTTGACCCAACCCAGATACCAATAGCACCAAGACTAACAAACGCTTCTGTGAAGTGTGCTAATTGTCTTTTTTTTTTGGGGGGGGGGAAGACAGAAATTCTGCGTTAAATAGAAAGAGCGCTTCTAAGAGTCAATATCAACAGGGGTGAAATTGTGAGGCTGTAATGTGTAAATGTATTGACTTCTTAATGTATTTCATAAATTGGGTCAGTAGAATTAATTGCTTTTAAACTTAATTTATTTTTTATTTAATTTGATTTATTTGTGGTACTAAGAAATGAACTCTGGGGCACTATATCTTTCAACTACACTCCCAACTCTTTTTATTCTTTGTTTTGAGAAATGGTCATGCTGTGGTTGAGACAGGCCTTGAACCTATGATTTTTCTGCTTCAGCCTCCCAATCTGCTGGGATAACAGCCATGAGTCACTATGCCTTAAGTTAGTTATTTTTTAAAATTTCTTCTTCTTTAATAGTAATTGATATATCTAAAAGTATCCAAGCAAATCAGAAGGGCACAACATGGGAAATAGTGTCTCTCTACTCAGCCTCCCTTGCTCTTGGTGCATTCTTCTGGAATTAGGTCCTGCATCCTCAAGTGTGTTTGTTCACTCCCACCTTTTAGCACCGTGGTTTCCTAACCACTTGTTTAAAATGGTTTTGAAAGAGACTTTCCATATAGCAGATGCTGTCAGAGTGTTTGACTCCTGAAGACAGACTGCACAGGTAAATCTCCTGGGATATCGTGCCCAGCACTCAAGAGAAAAGGCCCAGGGGAAATGACCTACAACCATCTGTGCTTCCCACCTACGGTGCTGTGATGGGAATGGAAGTCTGCAGGTGGTCACAGATAGAATTTGAAGCSAGAGGCAACTTGTGTTAGATGAAGCACTACCATCCATGATGTTCACATTTTCTATTTTCCTTTCTTCTCATGAGACTAGGACCCTATGCTTATAGGGGGCTGCTTTTTTTGTCCTTGGTTCCTGTACTGGCCATTATTTTGCCTTGTTCATTAACCTTAGGGAAGWGATTCAGGAATGGCCAGACTTATTGGATTATATTCCATGCTTTCTCAGAACAGTTCCATTTAATTTGTAGTGTTGGACATTCAACACTATATTTCATGATTGTGGAATACCACTTGGTATTTAAATTGTTGTCATTTGAGTTCTTGTGTGGACACTTTATGCCTCTTGCCTATACTTCTAGTTTCCAATGAGATTGTTCTTCTTTCTTCTCCCTTTTCTCAGGTTCTGAAGTATGTAGAGTGCTTCACTGGACCCAATGTCATGGCCATGCACACAATGCTGATAAACAAACCTCCAGATACAGGTAAAGGGCTCTTATTATTACAGAGAAGCAAGAAAAAAAAAGATTCTTTAATTAAAACATGTAGAGTTGTTGTTCTAGATCTGGTCATGGTGTAACTGTCAAACTCTGGGTGAGTGAATGTGGGTGCCTTTGTTTAAGACTTAAATATCTCATGTTATATCAACTTTGAAGTGTAATAGTGATTTCAGATGTTGATTATAGGGTTTTTGCTAAATTTTCAGATGACTGGCTCCCTGGAAAGGTAGGCTGAGAAACATGACTATTATTATGTCATAGACTCCCTCTATTCAACATCTGTGATCTTCACCAACCATTCTTAGCCAGGATCACATGGATTCTGCATTCCTGATCGGAAGACATGATTTTTACTAACAGGATGAAAGCTGTTACTACAAGTCACACTCAAGTGCTCGTGGTACCTTGTGCTTGCCAAAACCTAGATTCTAAGTCCTCATGGAGACACTGATTCTGAAGTAGATCCCAGATGTCTGCATTTTGATACCAGTGCCCAGAGATTCCACTGCAGGTGACTCTTGGACCACACTCAGAGATTTTTCTGTATCAGGCAGCATAAATCAGTCAAGAGGGCTGTATCCTTTTCTACTTTTTCTTTCTTTTGACACCTGGGAGAGGTTTATTTGATAGGACTGAAGCACAGTGTTTTCCTCCTTGGATGTCCTGCTTGGTGCGATGAGATTTTGGGCGAATCAAATTCTAAAATCAAAGATGGGGAAAATGTTTGTATGGTCAGTGGTTCTGACTAGTCAATAACTATACAGAGGATGTCTATTGTCTGTGAATTAAGACCTCTAAGAAAACTGTTTGTGGCATTAGCCACTTAGAAGGGAACCTCAAATTTGAATCAGTAACATTCTCTTTAATTTAATTCATTCGGTTTTTAAATTTTTAAAAAAATCCTTTTGTATGCTAGCTCTGTGCCAAATCCAGAGTGATGAAGAAATAAGGCACAGCAGAGATGATGGAGTATATGCAACTTCCTAGAAAAGAATGTAAGCACTCAGCGGCCAGTAAATCAGAAGAAAATGCTCCATGTTGACTCAATATTTTACTTTAGTGCTGGTCTATTGGGAATGATTTTCCACAGTATTTTTTTTTTTTTTTTTTTTTTTTTTGCAGGGAAAGGTAATGTGTTGTTTATTCCGGCATGGAATAAGAATTGTGAGGTATAAGCTCCTTTTGACAGCAGTCTCATTTCAGGCAGGAAGACTTCCCGGCACCCCTTGCACCAGGATCTGCACTTTTTCCCCTTCAGGCCCAGCAATCGCATTGTTTGTGCTTGGACCGCCATGGAGCACATTGACCTGAACAATGGCTGTCTGGCTGTCCTCCCAGGCACTCACAAACTTCCTCTGAAGCCACATGACTACCCCCAGTGGGAGGTAGGTCTGTGGGTCCACTGAGTCTGGATCAGAATCTCTTTCACTGTTGTTATTTCACTTAAGGTGCAAAAAACTTAGAAATGAGACTGCTTTCCTTTCTCAGCAAAGCATTGACCTGAAATTTGCAATTAGGATCAGGGGGAGTTCCAGGACATCACATAAAGTATTCATTTGATTTGTTCTTTCAACATGGGCTTGAAAGCCAGCCAGTGTGGAGACTTAGGTAGGAGCTGCCTAGGATCTGAGATGGTGAGGCCTGATGGCAGAGGTCAGGCATCAACCCTTCAAATCTAGTGTGTGTGAAGTGCCCACTGACTGAAGGCTCTCAGAGTAGAAGAAAGGAGGGAGGGATTATCTCTGTGCACCTGTGAAGACTAGAAAAATGCTCAGGGGTGGGAGGTGGTGATTGAGCTGAGCCTTAAAGGACAAGGTAGAATTTCCTATCACAAAAAAATCTCCTTGGAGGCATCAGGGTCAAGGGGAAGTGGAACCTGGTTAATGAACATGAAATATGGAAGGCATTCTCAGATCAGATGGGCTGGGGGCTGAGGACATTATGGTGGGTAGAAGGGGAAGAGAACCTTAGAAGATCCTCCAGGACCTGATTAAAAATGACTTTAACACCTACCTGTAGGTTACATGGAGAGAATGGGGTCCTTTCCTTTTTAGGAAACTGGAAGAGCTTTTATTTCTAATGAAAGTGTTTTTGAGGTATAAGTATCATATAATAGTACATATTTTCAATGTATAATTTGATCATTTTGACACACACACACACACACACACACACACACACACACCTGGTACCACAATGAAGGGAATATTTTCCACCTCCTCCCCAGGCAACCACTCAGCTGATTTCTGTTCCTATAGATTAGTTTGCATTTTATAAAATGTCATATAGATATAATCATGTGGCATACACTTTTTTTTTTTTTTTTTGGAATGGTTGCTGTTGCTCAGATTATTTACTTTGAGATTCAACAAAGCTGACAGTCTCAATAGGTTGTTCCTTTCGGTTCAGTGGAATGGCTGAACAATGGTTGGTTTATCCATTCAAATGTTGGTGCTGGGGAGCTATTATGTGCTTTGCACCCATGAATGGCAAGGCTTTATCCATTCTTCAAGAATATGATCTCAGGTCTGGGGTATGATTCATGATTCCCAGGGGGTGTAGGAGCTCAGAGGCAGCAAAACCAGAGAGCAGATCTCAGCCTTTTTGATGCCAGACCAGAAGACCCTGAAATCCCTGATGATGGTCAGAATGGAAAGGACAGCAGTGGTGAGCAAGGAGACTGAGTCATGCTTCTGTAGGAAATGAAGACTGTGGCTTCAAGGGCTTTTCTCTCTGAATTCTTGTACTACTGATTGTGTTCTGTGGAAATATTTGAGTCTGAATCCATATATATAAGTGGAAATGGTGAAATTCATCAGTTAAGTTCAGGGACAGGCAAGGGTTGGTGCAATCCTAAGGAGGCTTATTGAGCAGAAGGGAATGGCATCCAGGGCTATGGGAGCAGACTGGTGTCTGAGATGCTGCTGAGATTCACAGCAGTGGCAGTGGAAGTTTTATGCTTAGCTTAGCAGGGACCAATATGCACCTTGGCCAGGAAAGAAGAACACAGAGTCAAAGTCACAATATTGTGCAGTAGGACAATGATTATTCCCCATTGGAATGGGACACTTCTGCCCAGATGCATAAAGGCTCATCAACTGTAGTCACTTCTCACTTCAATTTGTATAATAAGGACATACATACACATTTCCTGGAGTTAAGAATACTTTTGGAAATAGTTATCAAATATACAGTGTTATACTTACTATTCTCTTTTTATTCTGAATATGATATAATTCCTTTGAACTTAGAAAAATTGAGAATGTTCTGTACTTGGTTTGGGGAGAATAATTAGCCTCTTCAAGATACTCTGAGTAATACAAGAATGATGTGAACAAAGTTCTAGGTGAGGAGAATGTCAGGCTGTGGCAAGGATGTTAAGATTGAGGCTGTCAATGCCTAAGAGCTTTAAAGGTGTTCACCTGCATTCACCACAAGAGGCAGAACTGATCTAGATTGTTTATAATTCAATGAGGAAGGGTAGGTAAATTTCCAATTTGGTTCATTTGTTAAAAAAATGATTTTAATATAAAAACAATTAATTTAATATATGTGATTTTAATTTGTTGCATTGCTGGGGTTCAAATCCAGGGCCTTGCACATGCTAGGCAAGCCCTCCACCACTGAGCAACATCTCTAGCCCTTTGTAAAAATCTTAATTTAAGACAAAGTCTGGCTAAGTTTGCTATTCTGCCCTGAACTTATGATGCCTGGCCTAAGCCTCCCAAGTAGCTGGGATCACAGGTGTGTACCACTGTACCTGCAGCAGATGATGTTTAAAAACCCAGAAATATGAAAGACTTTTGCATTTTTTATATTTAATAATTTAATTTAGATAAGTCTTCCTCTTAAAAGAAGTCAGAGAACCCTTGCTGTCCCTGCCAAGTCATACACAAAGTGTTCATTTTGTTGCTTCCTCCAGACTTTGCCTATCTTATGTGTTTCAGGGTGGAGTTAACATTTTCTACTATGGGATCCAGGACTATGACCAGGACCATGCCCGAGTGCACCTTGTGATGGAGAAGGGAGACACCGTTTTCTTCCACCCATTGCTCATCCATGGATCTGGTCAGAATCAAACTCAAGGATTCCGGAAAGTATGCATCCATGTTGCTTCAGTTTTGAAAGATGAATGGGTTCAAAACAGAAAATCATAGGTATATTAACACATAAAAGATTTATGACTTTTCACTAAACTGGACTGTTTTTTCCAGTTTTCTTAACCAGGAAGAATATTTGCCTTCCTTGTACATTTTTTTTTTTTTTCTCTACTCAGTCAGAACCCAGGTACCATCAGGATCCTAAACCTGTTACTTGTGAATCTTGGTCATTTGTGGAATTCCTTCAGAGCAGTGGCTCACCTTGCAGTGCACAGTTTCTGCTTTCTTGAGTTAAAACAAATACTAAAATACACTTGGGATTTATATTGCTCAGGGTAACAAGAACAAGAAGCAAATTTAGAATATCCTTATTATTATAGAATATCCTTATTTATTTGGAAAAACAATATTGGTCCTAAGCAAAGGTTCTGAATTGTCTGCACATATTTATTCCCCTCCAATCTCAGTGTTTTAAATTAAATAATTTTGTCACTGACATTTAAAAATTGACAGAATTCATTACAATTTCCCTGATTTCTCACTTGTCTCAAATTCAGCAGATCTTAGAGTATTGTGGGCTCACTTTCCTCATGGTAACAAGGTTGTCCATAATATTGAGGCTCCTTTAAGATTCAGTGGTGTTTCCACCTGGTTCCCACTGATCCCTGTTCTAACCCCAATATAGGGTTGCAGGCTTTATTCATTTATATTTGCACCAGGCTCACTAGGGCCTGGTACAAGTTGATACCAATGGGGCAGTGCCTGAGGACAAAATTGAAGGGGCTACCAAAATCTCAGCCATCAAGTTAAATGCTGTTTTACTAAATCAAAATTAATGAAAAAAAATCCATGCTGTGTACAATGTCAAAAATTTAAATAAAAGACAGGAAGTACACGCACTAGCATAGCCCTCAGGCCGTGTTAAGTATGGAAGTGCAAGCACAAAGATGCAAATAGTGATGTGTAATACATTCACTTTGTAATATTTCCATATTTTCACTGATTTTAATGTTCTGGAAGAACATTTACAATTATTTCCTAACAACATGGATGTAGAAGTACACAATTTTCCTTATGTCTTGTGTCTTGATGTGGCTTTGTCTGGCGCAGGGTCTGCACAGAAAATAGAGTTTAAAGAAAACTTTAAATGCTTAGAAATGTGAAGATCTTTTACTTAGATAATTATGCCACCTGTCCTGTATATATCTTTAAAAAATAAATAATTAGGTAAAAGACTCTTTAGTCATTTCTTAATTAGCCTTTAGGTGGGAGAGCAGGAGGGAGAGGCTCACCTAGAAAGTGACAGATTTAGGATGCCACTGAGGGCCTGGTAGTTGACTAGTCAAATCCTGGGCAGAAGAATGGACCCCCTGAAAGGAGAACTCCTAGCATGGTTGTTGGCATTCATAGGATGCTTTTCTCCATTATCAATATTCACTCTGCACAGGCAATTTCCTGCCATTTTGCCAGTTCTGATTGCCACTACATTGATGTGAAGGGCACCAGTCAAGAACACGTTGAGAAAGAAGCTGTGGGAATAACAGATAMATTATATGGAAGTGACAGTGGCTTAGACTTGAAGGTACACTTGCATGAAATAACCAAGTAAAATGTCTGAAGTTTCTTGTCTTCGCATGCTTATTTAATACCTAATTYAATTTGAAATGAAGGATATGGGGATTCTGAATGTATAGGAGCAAACATAAAGTTTTGGGACTTCAGTCAGGCCTTTCTTCTTGGTAAAGAATAGTTTCATTAGGCAWTCCTGTAAGACTTCAGGGAGCAATTCTGGAGCCAGTGTTGCTTTTGGTAAATTTGCATCTAGAGCAGAGATGGAGTAATGCTTATGGATGAAGGGCATTAGCCAGCATTTCATGTGCTTTCCTAATTGTACACATCACTTGGAAAGTATTTGTTTCTAAGTAGTGGACATTCAAGGCCACTAAAGAGCAATAGATAAATTAGCAATCAAAGCCATTAAAAAAAAAAAAACCTTCACTTTATAGAAAACACACAGTTTAGGTTCTGAACTAAGAAGTTATTCCTATTTTACTTTATTTGCATGAGATAATGATAGTATGGGCATGTACTATCAAGAGACTAAGTGTGATGATAACTCTAGTCCATCCAGGAATCTGTAGGTCAGTGCACACCAGTGGGACGCTACAGTGCCATTGGGAACATTCAGAACAGGTTTCTAGGGTGGAGAATCTTGCTTCTCTCTTTAGAATCTACAAATGTGTCCCTTGTCTGAAAATACTCCACGTTTGGGGATTAAACCAACTGAAATTTGGAAAAATATTCAGAATATTAAACGATGTTTGAAAAAAATTGCATCTGTATTAAACATATATAGACATTTTTAAAATCATTATTTCCTATGTAATACAGCCTAACAACTACCTCATGTTTCTATTGYACCAGGTGCTATAAGTAATCTAGGGTGATTTAAAATATATGGGAGGATGAACAGAGGTTATTTTATTGTAGGGACATGAGCACTCATGAATTTTGGTAGCTGAGGGGTCCTGGAGTGTACATTACATTGGAAGTTTGTAAAGGTCGTCCTGAATGAACACCACCCATATTTTAGTTACCTCACAATTAGAGCTTATCGGATATATTTAGAATAGAAATAGAATAATAGATAACAATAACAACTCATATAATTCTAACTTATAAAAACACTTCCATGGGCCCGAAGTTGTGGCTCAGTGGTGGAGTGCTCACCTAGCACAGTTCATTCCTCAGCATCACATACAAATAAATAAATAAATAAATAAAGGTATTGTGTCCAACTAAAAATAAAAAAAATATATATTTAAAAAAATAAAACTAAAACAATTTCATGTCCCATTTCTGATTTTCTTCACCAGAATGCAATGAACACTCTGTAATGCACTTGCTGTAAGGATAAATTGAAGACCCAGAGACTGGCCTAAGAAACAGAGCTAGATTTCAAAGTCAGGCCTAATTCTGAAATCATTCTTTCCACAATACCTTGCTGTCTGCTCAACAAGAAACAAGAAACAAGAAATTAGAAGGTCTCAATTGCTTTATTAATAAATGCAGTAGGGTGCATTGTGGCACATGCCTGTAATCCCAGCTACTTCACAGTTTGGCTAAGGCAGGAGGATTGCAAGTGAGGCCAGCCTCAGCAACTTAGTGAGCCCCTGTCTCAAAATGGAAAATAAAAAGCCTGGGCATATGGATCAGTGGAGAGTGGCCCTGGGTTCCATCTCCAGTACCCCCTCCCCACACCCAAGTAAGCCAGTATCCATGGTACCATGTTCACTACTCTGATCTCATCAGAGTTGCCACCTCAAAGTGGTTCAGGCAAGTAATAAAAAGACAAGCCAAGAGAAGGATCCTGAGCTGCTGTGACTCAGCATCACAGCCTACCCTCCCTGGTGCATTACTGTGATCAGCGAGGCCGACAGCTTGGGGATCCACCGACTCCATGCAGTTGATATTGTTTTAATTCTTGGCAAGAGAATTAATTGCAGTTTCAAAGCTGGTTTATTTATTAATCAATATAATAACCATAGCATTGTTTTCCTATTTAACCATTTGTAAAGCCTAGAAATCTCTTGTGGGGAATAGGCCAATGGATGTGTTCCACACACTCATTCTGTTTGGTGTTATTTCCAGGATATTTGGATGTTTCGAGCCCGACTTGTGAAAGGAGAAAGAATCACTCTTTGAAACAGTTCTTGATTATAACTCTTCCAAAAGGAGATGAAAAAAACAAGGAGTCTAAGGAAAATGTTTTCATATGGGATGATGTAATATTTTCTATCACTTGGTACCAAAATCAAGAAACACGCCTTGGGAACTTCATTTTGCAGAGTTAATTTTGCAGTGCAGTGATGTTACTTTAGTGGAAGTAAGAACAGTAAAATGAAATATAACTATTTTCAGAAAATCTGGTTTGGGATTA